CTTACAGACCCCTAACCTGTACATGGAGCAGTCTTTGAGACCCCTAACCTGTACATGGAGCAGTCTTATAGACCCCTAACCTGTACATGGAGCAGACTTACAGACCCCTAACCTGTACATGGAGCAGACTTACAGACCCCTAACCTGTACATGGAGCAGTCTTACAGACCCCTAACCTGCACATGGAGCAGTCTTACAGACCCCTAACCTGTACATGGAGCAGTCTTACAGACCCCTAACCTGTACATGGGGTAGTCCCACAAATCAAGGAGAGGTTAGCTACCCACGAATCCTGTCCCCACACCTGCTACTCTGTCCCAAGGCTGCTTTTTATTGTTGTTCCTGTGGTCAAGGAGCGCTCTGGTGCCACACAGGTGCCCCTCAGGCCAACCTGCTAAAATCTACCCTTGGGAGCCACTCAAGGAAAACTCCATCCAATCTGCAAAATACTTTTTAGTGCAATTAAGTCTCTTCTCTGGATTGGGGTGGGAAATAGTATATCCTAAAGAACAAAATATCTGAGAGGGTGAGGTGGGGGGGGTTGGCTGGGCACCAGTGGCTCACGCCTATATTCCTAGCTACTCAGGAGGCTGAGATCTGAGGATTGCCTTTCAAAGTCAGCCCAGGCAGCAAAGTCCGTAAAATCCAATTAACCATGAAAAAGCCTAAACTGGAACTGTGGCTAAAGTGGTAGAATACCAGCTTTGAACACAAACGCTCAGGGATAGGATGGGAATGTGGCTTAGTGGTAGAGGGCTCACCTAGCACGCATGAAGCCCTGGGTTCTATTTCTCAGTACCACACTGAAGTGGCACTGTGGCCCAAATGGTAGAGTGCTAGCCTTGAGCAAAGGAAGCTCAGAAACAGTGCTCAGTCTCAGGAGTGGAGAGAGAGAAAGAGAAAGGAGAGGGAGAAGATGGGGAGGGGGGGGAGAGAGGGAGAGTAGAGAGAGGGAAAGTAGAGAGAGGGAGAGTAGAGAGGGAGAGAGAGATGCTCTTTTTGCTGTGCTGTAGTGCCTCACTCTCCTCACTCTCACTAAACTCATGTTCTATCAAGCAAGCAAGCTTCCAGCCTCACAGACTTTCCTGTACAGGTAGGACACAAAAGATCCTCTTGATCTCAGCCTCCTGAGTAGCAAGAATTACCAGCATCTCAGTCTTTTTTTTTTTTTTTTTTGAGGGGGGTCCGGTCACGGAGCCTGAACTCTGGGCCTGGGCGCTGTCCCTCAGCTCTTCAGCTCAAGGCTAGCGCTCTACCACTTGAGCCACAGCGCCACTTCCGGCTTTTTTCTTTTTGCTTATGTGGTGCTGAGGAATCGAACCCAGGGCCTCATACATGCAAGGCAAGCGCTCTACCATTGAGCCACCTTCCCAGCCCAAGCATCTCAGTCTTTTACTTCATTTCTCACAAAACCATGAGCAAAACCACTGGTAATATGCATGTCCATAGAGATATGTGCAGTTCAGTTTAACACAGTAAAAGAGCTACTATGTAATGAACACTTCCCACAGGCTTTTTTTTTGATCAGTTGTGGGGCTTGAACTCAGGACCTGGGTGTTTGTCCTTGAGCTCTTCAGCTAGTTAGTCTCATGGACTTTCTTGCCCAGGCTGGCTTTGAACCCCAATCCTCAGATCTCAGCCGAGCCACTGGCACCCGGCTCCCTCAGCTCTCTTGATACCAGGAGTGCTGGACTGGCTCTCTTAGGTCAGGAGTGCCTGGCATGGGTAAAAATCAAGGGCTGGAGTGTCAGGGTCCTGTTGACATCACTCCAAGACAAGACAGGCTGACTACTAGCATTCAGAGCACACTGATCTGAACGGTGCACATCAGCAACTCTCCTGTGCCCAGAGCCTGGCTAAGAACCTTTCAGCCTAAGCCAACCAGGACTCTGTGACATCCTTAGCTTATCACCCATTGGGGAAAATTAAGAGACCAGGGACAGGGCTCCGGAGTATAGCTGAAGAGACTCAGAACTGCTTCCGCAGGCAGGTTGGTGGAAAGCTCACACTCACATGAGAGAGACAGGGATGAGGTGAACAGGGATGCAGAGCCTTACCATTCGAGAATATTTGAAGGGAGGGGCTCAGCACAGATGTAAGGCACCGGGTCTTTCTTAATACGAAGGTAGTCCTGCTTCAGCCTCTGTGTTGCTGTCGTTGGAGCTCTCTTATTGCTGTTGCTGCTCATCTATTAAAAACAAGCATCTCTATTTACTGAGAAAAAACAGACATACAGTCTCCTCACCCATAACTGGCTTCAGCAGCATCCCTGACTTTCCTTTCTGCAGCCCCCAGCAATCCAGTAGTGACCCAATTCTCATTTTTCCTCTCTCCTCCCACCTACTTCATTTATTCAATATACCTTACTGAGCCCTTAGCAAAGACACAAAGAAAACCATAAAGCCTCATTCTTGTTCTCAAAGAACTTTGATAAATAAGTACAAAGACATTCACTTAGTGGATTCTGGGAAAATATGAAGCTAGCCTGGACCAACCTGCACCATACGAGAGCAGAGGTACAGTCTTCTAACTTTTTTTTTTTTTTTGGGGGGGGGGTCCAGTCGTGGGGCCTGAACTCTGGGCCTGGGCGCTGTCCCTCAGCTCTTCAGCTCAAGGCTAGCGCTCTACCACTTGAGCCACAGCGCCACTTCCGGCTTTTTTCTTTTTGTTTATATGGTGCTGAGGAATCGAAGCCAGGGCCTCAGGCATGTAAGGCAAGCGCTCTACCACTGAGCCATCTTCCCAGCCCCTCTTCTAACTCTTATGTTCAGTGACACCTTAACAACAGAGCTTTTCTGCCAAGGAAATTGGCAAGAACCATGTTCCTCCCCTGCCCTGACAGCCTGGCATCAAACATTTACCACCCTGGCCATAACTGACATCAGCAAAGGAAAAGAGAAAACTATGAGGCAAGGAGACACAGAAATTCTGAAAAGATTCTGGAGGTACTCACTCTACAGAGGGGGTATGCCTGGGGAACCACGCTGATGGCTGTATGGGGAGTCCGAGTACAGTGAAGAGGAGGGGTGGGAGTGGTTCGAGCCAAGTGTAGGCCCCAGGGAGATTCTAGGAACCAGCCTTAAAGCAGATCAATTTTTGTGTTAAAAAGGCTACTATGGCCAGGCACCAGAGGCTCACACCTGTAAATCCTGGCTACTCAAGAGCTGGAGATCTGAGGATCATGGTTTGAAGCCAGCCCAGGCAGCAAAGTACCCAAGAGACTCTTAACTCCAATAGACTATTCAGAAAAAGTCAGAAGGGGCACTGTGGCTGAAGTAGTAGAACACTATCCTTAAGCAAAAGAAAGCAGCTCAGGGATAGTGCCCAGGCCCCGAGTTGAAGCACCAGCCAAAAAAAAAAAAAGAAAAGGAAAAGGAAAAGGTTACTGTGACTATATAGAGTGCAAGGGTGGTTCATGCCTGCAATCCTACTCAGGAGGCTGAGATTTGAGGATCACAGTTCAAAGCCAGTTTGGGGGCTTGAATTCAAGGCCTGAGTGCTATCCCTTAGCCTCTTTGTGTTCAAGGCTAGCACTCTACCACTTGAGCCACAGCACCCCTCTTAGCTTTTCTTTTTTTTTTTTGTTTGTAGGTCGTGGGGCCTGAACTCTGGGCCTGGGCGCTGTCCCTCAGCTCCTCAGCTCAAGGCTAGCGCTCTACCATTTGAGTGCCACTTCCGGTTTTTTCCCCCTGCTTATATGGTGCTGAGAAATCGAACCCAGGGCCTCATACATGCAAGGCAAGCACTTTATCACTGAGCCACCTTCCCAGCCCCCTCTTAGCTTTTCCTAAGTAATTTACTGGAGCTAAGAATCTCATGGATTTTTCTACCCAGGGTGGCTTCAAACTGTGATCTCACAGCCTTCTGAGTTGTTAGTATTGCAGGCAACCAGCTGTCAATTAACCATCAAAAAGCTAGAAATGAAGCTATAGCTCAAGTGGTAGAACACTAGCGTTGAGCAAAAGAAAAAAGAAAAGCTTCGATAGGGTCCAGACCTGAATTCAAGCCCCGGGGAAGGGGAGAGGAGGGAAAGGAACCAGATACCAGTGGCCAATGCACACAGCAGCAGGCAAAGTGGGTGCGCTTCAAGTGACAGAGTGCTAGCCTTCAGGGAAAGCACCGAGAACCCGAGTTCACGCCCTAATACTGGTGCGCGCACGCGTGCGCACACACATACACACACAGGTCTCACAGACTTTTCTCCAGAGCTGGTTTTGAATCCCGATCCTTACAGGCTGTACGTGCTCACTCAGATTTACCCCATCCCCTGGAAAGGTGGCTCATGTCCTTCTCATTACACATAATGTGAATGCAGGACCCCTTCACTTTCCCTATCAACCACACAGCTTCCTTCCCGTCTCCTCCCACAAAAGCCCTTGGGACCTTCCCATAGCCAATCTGATAAACAACAGCAACACCATCCATCTACCCATCCTGACTCCCAAGGGTCCAGACACAGCCCAGTCCATCTATCTACCCCAGCAGTCTACCGGGGTACAAATGCACGTACACCCTTCCTCACATCCCTCAAAACCTGCCCGAGTTTCCTCATATCCAACATCCACAGGCAGAACCACCACCAAGCTTTGTTCTTTCCTGATGTTCTTTCCTTGAAATGTTTGTATCTGAGGCTGATATTACACATATACAAAACAATCCACTGGACAAAACAAATACATCTGTGTTTGGATCTAAGTGGCCAGAGCAGACACTTGGTGAGGGACAGTGGCCAGCCACAGAAGCATCCGGCTGAGCTGCTCACAGGCGCACTCCCTGCCCCTCTTCCATCCCATGCTTTGCAGCAAGGCTTCAGCTGGGAGCTTGAGCTCTTGCTGGGCTTTTGTGCTCACAGCTGGTATACCACCAGTAAGCTGGTGTACCACCAGTACAGCATTTTGCTTGGTTACCTGGAGAGCCAGTCATACTGTTCTGCTCAGGCTGGCTCCAAATCACAACCCCAGGTACCGGCCTTAGGAGCTAGGGTTAAGATGTGACCAGCTGGCTCCCAGCAGCACACTCACTTTTTCTTTTTTTGCAGTGCTGCAGACCAAACCCAGAGACTCACGCATGCTAAGCAAGCGTCTGCCACTGAGCTGCAAACACTATTTCAGACACAAAACCTTTCAGGTGGTATTTATGATTCAACTCCTTGGTTTCTGCAACTACCTCTCCTTTGTCTCATTCAGAATGCTTTCTCTCATGTCCATCCCACAGAACTGCAGGTGTCTGTTTCTCCGGATTTTTCCCAATCAAAATATGATAGCAAGAAGAAAAGAAGAAAAAAAGTGTGAAATTGCAGTAAGAAGATATTCCTCAAATCAGGTCTCCAGGGCTAGAACAAGTGTGTTATACTCAAGAGTACCCCCAAACATCAAAGATTAATATGTTCACACACCCAAAAAGAAACTCACGGGAGGCAGCCTGAATCACTAGTAAGACCACAGGTGCAGGGATGGGGTGTAGCTCAGGGGACCGAGTGCCAATGAGTGAAGCATCGGGACCAAGTTCGAATCCCGGTCTTGGCCACGGGTCTTCCCAACCCCGAGTCCTTGAGCCACAGCAGCGGCTAACCAACCCCTGTCACTCCTGCTCCTTTCTCCTCTGGACGTCCCTCTCTAGTGCACACACGGGTCGGGGGATGAAGATGCGGAACCTTGACCCGACGGAGCAGGAGGGCGTGTGACACGCCCAGGCCCAACACTTCCGGGAAAGTCAGCCGGCCGAGGCCGGGGTGAAGGAGGCAGCTCACAGCGCGTGGGGGCCGCGCGCGCGCACGCTCACCCCTCGATGGAGCCGTCGCCGGGGTCGGGGGGCCCACCCCCTTCTCTGGGGCCCGTCACACCAGCCCCACTCACCTGGACGGGGCACGGGCCGGGGCCGCCGCCTACGAGCGAACAGCACATTTTACGCACTTACGTGGCTGGCGCTCCGGCGGGGCCTCCCCCGTGTCGGGCTGGGGTCTGCCCCGCGGGGGACTCACGGCTCACACTCGCCCGCTCGGGGGTCGGGGCGGGTGGGAGGCC